CATTTTCTTTCAGTTTGATATGGGGAAAAAAGTCAGAATTCTGAGAAAAAAATCATTTTAAACTGAAATATAAATGTGGTAATGTCAGGCAAACTAAACATGTAGCGCTATTAATCTTTAACTTTTCATTCTCTACAAGTCAAACCACATGAAGTGGAAAAAATAAAACTTATGTTAATCAAGCTGAAGAGTTTTACCTGCCATGACTAAAACGGTTTGGACTCTCTCCTCATTTACAGCCAGGGTGCTGCAGTTCTTCCATATAGCCACCAGGTGGAAGCACAGACCGCAGCCATCTGAGGGGAACACAGGTCACCATGGAAACGCTTTGTTGATTCCGAGGCTTAACTCACCTGGACACGGTCGCGTTGCCCCAGGACCAGTTCGTCGTTTGTTTTCAGAGAAATTATCGCAGCTCCTCTGACTCTATAACCCGGTACTGATCCATTCACCCACCGCTGCCAACCGGAAGGTCCTGATACGATCCAGAGTCAAAAAAGCTCCAGTAGATGATCTATGATCCAGCTTCTTATTGGGAACTTGACTGCTGTTCTTCTCTCCTCTCCAAATTTTTCAGAAAAAAATTGTGTTTTGCTTTATTTTTGGTAAGTATCTTATTTCCATGACTGATGCTCCTTTCTGCAATCTGTGCCTAAAAAAGTTATTTACTGAGTCATGAAAGTTCACTAAAGATGAGTGTGATGAAGTCCAAACTGGTGTGATTTAGAGCAGAGGCTTCTGAACCACAAACTAGAACCATGATGATTTCATGTTGGTTTAAATACAAACATTTGATTTTAATAAATCCTAATAACCAGAGATATAATGTAATAAAAGCAGCATCAGAGACTCATGTGTTTGTTTTTGCCTGTTCCTAAGTGACATTAATATCTTTAAACACATAAATATGATTAATCACAGAAATCTGGTTATAGAGGAAGATAAGATAACTTTATTATCCAATAATCCAGAAATGGAGATTTGTTTTTAAAACCTACTGGTTCATACAGAAAACAGGATTCCATAAACACCAATATAAAAACAAACAAATTAATAAAATAAAATAAAATAAAATAAGGGGTGCTGTTTATAAAGTATAGCAGTTAAAATTTAGTAGCAATATTATTGTTTTTTAACGCTTTTTAAAAGAAAATAGCGGTGTTATTTTTTCCACGATATCATTCCTTCATTTATAAAAATCAAGTTCCAAACTAAATATTTAAATTATTAGTTAAAAATTTGTCAGCAAACTAAATATTCATTTTCCAAACCAAATATTTATTATTTTAAGTAAATATTTCTTTTCCAAACTAAATGCTTAGTTTTTTTAAATTCGTAGTTTGAAAGCTAAATATTTAGTTTGTTAAATCTCCCTTTAAATAATTAATAATACATTTAAAAGGATAAATTAAATAATGAAATCATTAAGTTATATTTTTTTAAATGAATATAATGACTTCATATGAATAAACAGAAATATTGTATTATTCATTTTGGGTGTTGAAATGTTTTAATGTCTTCCTCTAGAGGACATAAATATGTTATATGGAATGAAAAGACGTACAGGTGTTAAACACTTAGAGTTTTTTGTGCTATTTCTGGCATCAAGAGGCAAATTAAATCATATTGCATAAATTAAAATTTTTCTATGAGGTTGTTTGTCAGATTAAACCCTTAGAGAATATAAATATTTGAGCAGGTATTAAATATACCTTTTATTAATCCCCACATTTCTATATTTGCAATATTCTTTTTGATCTGATGTAATATTCAAAATTTTAATGTTGTAATTTTTTTAAACTAAGAAAATACACGCCATGATTTAAAAAAAGCTTGAATATATCAGTTTATCATGAATAAATGTGCTTAACTGAGTGATGAAATTACTGAAATAAATGAACTTATTACTAATATGTTTAGTTATTTGAATATGACTGTATGTGACTAAATAATAATAAATACGATCACAGCTAAAAACTTCAACTTTGTAATAATAATTGTTTATTTTATGACAAGTTATACATTTGTTTGATCAGTTAGCAACAGAAAATAATGAAATAAGTGGAATAAGAAATGATATGATATGTAATAGTTTGTCTTGCTGTCAAATTTATTTTATTTCGAGTTGAAACCTCAGAAAAAGTGTCTTATTTATGAGTACAGCTGAGAGAAAGAATGAGGAGAACATGTTATGGGTGGATTTTATTTCAGTACATGAAGAAAAGGAAATGTAAACATGTAGGTTATATATGTAAAATAGAAAATGTCTCAGCTGTAACTTTTCCACCATCGACGTTCCTCTGAAAATCCTTCTGTTTTAATGGAAGTTTCAACCTGAACTGAGCAGAGCTACCTTCTCATCAGGGCCTGTGATGTCACAGCGGGACATCATCGATTTCTCCGCGCTGGAGAAGGAGCTGCAGGGGGCGGTGGAGTCTGAGAGAAGATACCAGCGGGAGAACCAAGCCAAGCTGAGGGCCGTGAGCCAGAGAGTGGGATACGATCAGTTCAGGTGGGTCCTCATGGACACCCGGGGAGGGGGGTCTAAGAGAAGCTTTAGGAGGGTCTGATGTGGCCAAAGAATGGAGTATTGGACTTTATCTGGCTTTGGGATGCACTTTAAAGAGATATTTTCCCATTTAACCCCTTTATCAGAGGATCAGAGGTTTAAGAGTCTTTCTCAGGGAGCCATTAGTGAAAGTTTGAAAGGCTGACTCTGTAACCTCTCCAACGCTAAAAGAATATGTCTTAATCTCCACCAGGGAAAACCTGGAATGTCTGGGAAATGAACAGAATTCCTGGTTGTTTTAGTAGCTCTAAAAATTTCCACATAAACTCTCTGGGTTCATGTTTTTCTGGAGGCCATGTTTATTCCTGGTGTTTTTTTTTTAATTCAGAGTAATTTTCATGTGAATGTGCTTTACTGGAGGCATCCATGTTTGTCAAAGAACACTACTGCCACCTACTGGTTAGTGACATTGTCACGGTGCGGTATCGGCTGTTGATCAAGTCCCAGTGCTGTATCTGGTGTTTGTCACAACGCGCTATTATCCAAGTCATCTTGAAAACATTCTTCTTCCAAATGTTGGCTACATATTACGGGTTTTTTCTCTGGCCAGAAGTTCGATGGCAAATCCTCCCTCTTCAAGTTGGCGATCCAACGACCAACCCGTCCGTGGAGGATTATGAATAGGAAAGGGGAAGCACATAACATAACATCCACAGATAATCCACAGGTAGCAGATAGCATCCACAGAAAAACAGCAACGCTAATGAGGGTAATTATTGGGAGTATTTCAAATATCAGAATTTCTCTATTTCTTTCAACTCAGCAATTAAAGGCCTTTCTGTCCAACTTAGAACAACAGCTGCCTGTAGAAACACAACAAAAAATAACATTATTATTTAAGATAATTGACTATTAGTGCTGATGTACAAGGGTGTAATTGTAGATTTTGGCCTGATGTGTTTGTGTAGGTATGTATATAGTAGTTTACATGTATGTATGTAGATGTATTTATTTACACACATATGTGTATGTAAATCTATATAGTTGTGTGTATATGCATATATATATAGTATATACAGTATACATACAGTTTGTGTGTGTGAATATTGGATAAAAAACAAGTCTAGTAGGAAGGATAGTTTATTTCAGGTTAATTTAAGTGAAATCTGAGGGAGAGGGGGTATGAATAATTCATTAATCGATGTCATTTCTCTGGCTGTATATTCAGACAGGTTTATTTGGTGGTTTTGTTTCTATTTATATTAAGATACATTATTTAGTTTGGAAACTGGTGTTGGGTTTAGTTTATGTTAACTAGTCTCTTTTGTTTGTATTTTGTTGATTCATTTATTGTTGTGTGTCAAAAAATGGCCTGAACTAAATTCCAATTCATTCATTCATTCATTCATTCATTCATTCACTCACTGACTATATAACAATATAAGGGAATAAATTAAACTTACACTGATCGGTGACGCTAACTGAGCAGATAAGGCAGCAGGGCTTAGTTAGCCTGGCTGTTAACCTGGTCTGCACCAAGCTAGCTGCACAGATTAAATCACCATGGTAACACACGTGTTACTATTTGCATGAAATCTGGTCAAGGCTTAAATATGCAGGATATCTGTAAAATCCTGACTTAACCCTTTATCTTGGTTTAAGCCTTAGAAAGCTCCTTCATGTCGATGCTGGCTGAGCTTCAGGCAGCTCCTCTCGTCTTTGAAAATGACACCAGGATGTTAGATTAGATCTCCTCGACCTTCTACTGACATCCCAGGATGTCCTGCATGACGGTGTATATAAAAAAGGTCTCCTTTAAGCAACTTTCTGTCTCCAGGTTTATAATGTTTGTTTCTTTCCCCCAGAGGTCTGGTTCTGTCTTCTCACCTGAAGCCTCTGGAAAAGAAGGACAAGGATGGAGCTCCACGGAAACAACCATGGAACCCTGTTGCTCCTGGAAACGCCTGATGGACCATCAATCCAGGCTTCCTGGATCGAGCTTCCTCCAGTATCACCTTTGATATTTGACCCACCTGTTTGACTCTTCAGTTTGGAAAAAAATAAGATTCTGATCATTTTAAATTTTTGGACTGAATAATATTGTTTTGATCATCTGTTTAGCAAACAGCAAGAAATGCAGATGTAAAGAAATAGCTCTCCTTCGGAAGTTTTTAATAAACAGTTTCCTGGTCCTCAAACAGCTCAGTCTACCATCCTGCTCCAGGTCCCCTTACTGACCCAGCGATCATCACTGGAATCCTGCAGGTGTTGCACAGCTGTTCCTGTTTCACCATCTAACACGACTCCATAGAAAGTATTCTGATGTGTCTGCTAGCATGCACGACATAACTGCAGCAGTCAGCTCTGGATCTGCATGAGCGACTGAAATAACTTCAGTTAAGCTCAGGACCTCTAAGAGTGTTAAGGAACATTTTAGAAAGTTTATCCTGTTTTCTTCCGGGTTTTTGGGTCCCAGATTTAACAGATCATTTTTAGAATAGAATAGAAAATCCCTTTATTGTATCACAATGGGGAAATTGTGGTGTTCACAGCAGCATTATATATGCAATCATTGATTCCTCTGTTGCTTTTCTTTTGTAATTGTGTGTGTTTTCCTTTGCAGCTTTCCTGTAACAGTAGTTATAAATCCAGTGATGGGAGTAATGGCATTAAACGTAATGCCGTTACCTTTTTTTAATAACGAGTAATCAAAATTATTACTCTTACTGTAACTATAACGCAGTTACTATTTCCGACACCCCGTTACTGCACGTTACTCAGGCAAGGCAAGG